CTCCTTCTGAACCAACACTCACCGTCAGAGTTGCAGGTGATACTAACGAAGATATTCCATTCCACACAGATGTTGGAGACATAGTGTCTCTTTTCGCACTAGGCGAATCAGCTGAAGGCGGGGAGAGCCTATTAGCGAGTAGCTGGAGAGTTTATAACGAGCTTGCTAGAACTAGGCCTGATATAATCCAGGTTCTGGCCAGTGACTGGCCAATCCCGAGGTTCGTACAATCATGCTAGATGTTTCTCTATGCGATGTAAAGGTGGTTGACATGCTTGCTCTAGTTCCAAACAGGAGGGTGCTTTCATCCACCGGCCTCTGATGTTCCACCAGAATTCATCGGGAACAACACCGGAGAGACTGTTGATCAATTTTTCAAGAAGATGGTTGGCGGGATATGGCGACCTCAAGCGAACGAGACTGCTTTCTGTGAGACAGGCCGAGGCGCTTGATTCCCTCCACTTCTTGGCTGAAAGGTTCCACATATCCATGAAGCTTCAGAAGGGAGACATGCAGTTCTTCAATAATTTAAGCATCCTACATGCTCGAAGAGGCTACAACGATGGACCTCAGCAGAAGTACGTTCCCTTATGTCTGAAACAACGTAACCATAGCTCCGCTAAAAATTAATGGCAGACGACATTTCTTGCGACTATGGCTGAAGGATCCGGAGAACGCATGGCCGATGCCGAAACAGCTTCAGCAGAAATGGGACGGTGTTTATAGCGAAGAAGAATCGCGAGGACCACAAGTATTTCCGCTATATCCTTACACGACTGTATAGTGGAGTGGAAACACAGTCGCTTCGCATGGCACCAGCTCCTCCATGGTTAGCCCTCGTTTACCTAGGTATCGGGTCAGACGTGGCCGTTATACAGCGAGAAACGGCCGATTAAATAAGAGATATCAAGTCGCATATTTCGTAATAGCGCTCCCCTATATATCATTCCTCCAGGTTTGTATGAGATTAATATAAAGTAGTATGCCTTGTAATTATAATAAAAACTGTGGACCATGCGGAGCTACTTCTAGCAGGGACAGAGGGCACAGTAGGACGGGTTTTGAGAAACTGACACCAGAATTGATATACATGACAAATAAACACATTGAACGCACTATCGAGGTAATATCGTAATCAGAAGGAGTATTGCCATCCGCAGGAAGGCGAGATAAGGCATCCGCCACGATATTAATTTTGCCAGGTCGATAGATGAATGATCAAACGGAATTGTTGAACGCAATGAGATGCACGGATTAGCCCGTCCACGGTAGGTTGAGTGTAGCAGGGGTAACTGTATTCAATGATATGTCTTTTTGGTTTTGCTCGACCATGAATGGTCTTGAATTCGGACTAGGCCTTATTTTTGGATATTATTCTGAGATGCAAGCGCTATCACTATAGTCTACCTTCTATATGTTTGCGAATGGCCCCGTGATAACATTTCATATACACATCCTAACCTTCAGCTTGCCCTCCCTCACAATCTCCTCTTCCTTCTGCAACAGCTCCTCCACATCCCAAGTTACTGGGATATACCTGGCAGCTAACCACTCCCGTCTTTTCTCAGTAAGGAATACCAACGTATCTGCGCACAGCTCTGGCGTTTCTGTCAATGCCTTGTGCCGCTGTTCAGGGAGCCTCTTTCCCAAGTCCGTTAGTACCCCACCAGGATGCACAGCAAAAGTCAGTATACCGTCCGGTCCATGATCCACATCCAAGAATTCCGTAAAACGAAGGACGGCGAGTTTGCTGGTCTGGTAGGCCGAAGCACCAGGCAAGGTCAAATGCGCCGCAATGCTGCCCAAATTTATAATGGTCTTGTCTCCGCCTTTGCCCAGCATGAGCGGAAGAAATGCCCGGGTAACTAAGTATGGCTCAAATACATTGACCGACCATGTTTTCTGCCATTCGGATGGATTACTTTCGGCGATCCTGACGCGTCTTTCGAGGTACCCGGCGTTGATACTAAGAATGTCCAGGCGGGGGAACGAGGAGGCAATCGAGGCGGCCGCTGCTGATGCGCTCTCTGCATCTGTCACATCTAGTGTAACAGGCACTACTTGGGGAGCTGGTTTGCCTGCTTCCTCTGCGGCCTGGGCGAGAAGTGGTACAAGCGATGAGAGATCTGTACGAGCGCCCATTCTGATCCCAGCACAGCCGGCTTTGGCGTAGGATAACACAGTCGCCCGCCCAATGCCTTTGGATGCACCTGTTATGAAGACATACTTTCCACTTATGTCACATTTACGCGGATCAATAGCTGGGTAGGTGTCGGCGTGACGGGCAGCGAGAGGCGAAGAGTGGGGTGGAAGTCGTTATAAAGGCGACTAGTCGCAAGTTGTAAGTGCCCACGAGATTATTAATTCTATCGTCAGCCCAGTGTTAGTTGCTTCCCACATTATTTGGGCTGAATAGGATCAACAGTTAGCTCCGGCCGGTAATAACATCAATCCCGAGCCCCCGATCCCTAGGACTACGCATATGCCCAACAGCCCCCACAAGGACCCCACGTTTGCATTCTCAGAACAATCGGCGATGCCATGCGCAGTCACGAAACACAGGTATGTGTACCACCCATTGCGAATGGGAGTGAGCGGTGTCTATCGTTGCCGCAAACAACCAAGCGTGGTACTATCCATCATGGAAGATGGCGCTTTGCACTGGGTCTCAAAGAACGTCATCTGGGAAGGTCATCTGGGAAGGTCATCTGGGAAGGTCATCTGGGAAAACCGTCCGAACGAAATGTTCGACATCGTTCCATAGCTCCTCTGGATTTTCCATGGCAGCAAAATGACCACCTTGAATGTGAGAATTGTACCATACCAAATCACCCAGCGTCGCTGCCCACTTCCTAGGGAGACCGCTAATATCAAACGGGAAACGGCTGTAGCCCATTGGCTTTGGAACAAACGGTATCATGTTGTCAGGCGCATCCAGACTGGATAGTTGGTAATAATCACTTGTCGTCATCCCCATCAGGTAGTAGACCGAAGCGTGTATTAAGGTTGTTTGCATGGGTAAAGGGTGTTGGGGATCTACCCAATTGTTGAACTTGTCACTAAGCCTAACACTTTATCAGTACTTCGGCGTTGTAAACACTGGGTCACTAGCCGTCTCTCACCAGGCTAACAATGACAATGGGTCTTTCTCCGGAACGACTCCTAAGGTGACCTGTTTTCCATGATCCGCGACATCCGTCTTTTGGAGAGACTTGAAATGTGAAGCTCGGCTAAGAATCTCCGGGTCTTGCTCACTAAGATCTAGATCGGTACTTGGGTTGGGTAACCCGGAGAAAAGAGGGAGGGAATTGACTAAAGACAGTTATTTTCTGCTGCCGATAAACAAGAACTTGTCAAGAGGGACGAGTGAGCTTTACCATGTACAGCTGGACTACAGTTAGTAATATTTCCAAGTGCCGGCGCAGATTACAATGAAAGTGGCGTACCTTCACAACTGGGGCTAGATGACCCAAGTAGCCTAGCAACATAAGCCCCCACACCGCCACCTTGGGCAATGTAACCATTATCCAGACCAATGCCGGTGAGCAACGCGTCAATGGTCCTAGCTACGGCGACCATATCCGCATGTCTACTCATGGGGGAGCCGGCAGAGTAGGCATACCCGGGCAGAGATGGTACAATGAGATGGAACGGGCAATCCTCAGAAGAATACCTCTGACGCACGAGATCGAGAAGCTCAGTAAAGTCAAGGAAACTCCCAGGCCATCCATGTAAGAAGACGATGGGGATAGCATCCGGTTGCTGCGAAAACAACGCCATGAAATGGACATTGGACGTATGGCCGTCCACCGTCACGGAAGCATTGAACTGAGGGTGACGGTTGACCTCATTCTCTAGACATGGCCCATTAATCTCGGACAAGCCTTCAGATGCAAGTGCGATCCAATGCCGCTGCTCGTTGTCGGGGTCGCTAGTTCGGGTATGTCTCAGACTTTCATGCATCTGATATACTTTATTCTGTGAGAACTCAAAGTGTATGCGCTCAACTGGGATTGACGCCTTCAATGGAAGGTTAGACCACGCATCCGATGCTGCATTATGACGAGACTGCTCTATGCTTAGAGGCATAGAGGTGGACACGACAGCAAAAGAAGCCAGGCATACAAGCGCCTTGAGGGGCGAGGAATACATTGTAAAGGTGACACTAGAGTTAGATGGGAGAACTCTGATAGATGTCAACGACACTCAACCCATTGCAGATGGTAAAGAAAGGGAGTAGTTCTTTGGCGATTTTTAGTCACGTCTTTTATCTTCTTTGTTTCTCCGTTCCTCTTTCCTTTTGATTTTTTCTCACAGGGCTGACAGGGGCTTCGAAGAGATGAAACCAAGAGCGGAACCATGGCACGTTGATCCATTGGAAACGGAGATTCGATTACTTCCGAGCTTATGAGGAAGGCATCGTCATTATTGAAGATACCATTTGCGGATTGTAATCTGTAGCGTTTTTAGCGTAGAACCTGCGCCTCGTTCTTTCACGCACGGCCATCGGGAGGCCGAAATGATTTGAGCATAAATGCCATAGCAGCGCGCTAACGGATGCTTCGGAATGTTGGCAATCCCCTCTAAGGCTTCAAGGTGCCCTATCAGCATGATCACTGCTCGGGTTCGGGGACTGCGGACTTCCGCTTTCATAACATCTGCGTCCAGCTTCCGAAACCTAGTGATTAGTCTGACCCCATAAAAGGAATAGCGGCGTGTCAACAAGAGCACCGATTGTAGGACGAATTCTCTAAGGGTGGAGACGTAGCCCAGTTGCTTCTCTGATGCTAAGGCGCTGGGAAAAACTGAAACGGGGGCTAGGTTTCTCATGCGCGAAAGAAAGATATCGGTTTGCTGATTCTACTTCTCTACATCACTACACGAAACACAGATGATAAATTTGACCAGAACAAAATGACTTGGTTGAATTGAGCAAGATCACTCAAACCTATCTATGGCGTTTCTGCCAGGGTATCCTTAACTCCTCGCCAAGACACTGTTGCTCCTGAGCACATTCCTCGCTCGGACCTCACCAGGCCACATAAATCCCGATACTATTCAAGACATAAACTTTTCGTTGGTCGTCTAGTAGAAGAAACCGAGGAGCTTGCCAGCAACGTGCTTGCGGCGAGCCTCCTCGTGGTCCATGATACCAGCGGAGGTGGTCAGGACGACGTAACCGAACTGACGAGAGGGAAGGAGCTGGGTGGCCCACTTCTCGAGGTCACGGAGCTGGACGGGGTAGCGGGGGTTGATGACACCACACTTGTTAAGGCGACCGTTGAGCTGGATAACGATCTTGCCGGAACGGTGGTCATCGACCTCCTCGAACTCGCCAATGTAGCCTAAGAAAGATAGAGTCAGTAATGTTACGAAGATTTAAAAGTTCACCAAACACAGGAAAAAAAAATCCGGAAACTTGTAAGATCTCCGCCTTGTAAAAAAACAATTCTCAATATATCGGGTACTTAAAGGGCGGACGTCGTTTAAAGTTCGAGATCGCCGCCTAGTTATCAACCCGAAGAACAAAAAAACACAAATACATATTCCAATATACACATAATAAAAGCAAAGGACAATTGAACGTAAGGCGACAATGGTAGGAAAGATGGTTGTGCATACCGTGCTTCTGCATGACGCTGAGGAACTTGACGATGACCTTGGAGGAAGGACGGACGAGGACCTGGCGCTTGCCAGCCTTCTCGGCGTTGTTGATAGCGTTAAGCGTATCGTTGAGGACGGAAGTCTTGACCATTTTGGCGGTTGATTGTCGAGATTCTCAAATCGAGAGACGGGATAAGAGGTATCTAGATTTCAAAAAGAGAATCATGTCAGCCACCAGTAGTCTTCGAGCGTAAAGAGTGCCCCTTTAAGAATTTTTCATCAAGGGTTCTTCAGCCCGTGCCGTGAAATGAGAGAAGCGTATCACCTGGACCCTCTGGTAAAACTTTTCAATTTGCGGTCGCGACTCCACAAGAATTGAAAAGCCCAAAGTTCCATAGTGATTGCTCTCTCAGACTAGCTGAGAGGCCGCGAGAAGGGGTTCAATAACGAGTAATACATACCTCGAGGGTAGTACCGATGAGGCTGGTGAGAACGGGGATGTGGTTAAGAAAAGTTCTATTAGGAGCTGAACCGTGAGGTTTTCGGGATGTGCGCGGGTAGGGTTGTGTAAATCTTGCCCTTATCAGGTCACGTGTACTCCCCAACAATCTGCCTCAGGCATGACACGGGAGCATCGTTGTATCCATCAGGGAACACGCCGATGAAAGAATTCAAGGTCTGTACAGTATATGTTAACAGTCCCGTAGATGTGAGGTAAAGTCACATCAAATCGATCCAGCTATTATCCTGTAGTGCTATGCCAATGCGATTGACCACTATATAACTCTTACATCACATATCCTATCTACTTCCTGCTCGAGCACTATAAATTCAAATTGCAGAGGATCAAAGCCATATCACCAAAATCCAGTATTAACAACTTCTATCGGCTTGTTTATATGTCCGCCTACTATTGAACAGAAGTATATAAACATATCCATCCTCATGGCCCTAGCGGATCACTGTCGCCAAGAGAAGGATCGGAAGTTATTGATATACCTCAATGTAGCACCAACCTGTTCCATCCTCCACTGCAATTCGATCACCTTGTGGCCTTGACAGTTTGACAGGTAGTAGTGTAAGGACTAGCTTCTACTTCCCCCTCTACCTGCTGCCATGGCATACAAACACAAATCAGCGCCACGGATTACATTGCATACGTTACCCGAATATCAGGGGGCATAGTATACCATCGCCCACTCTCCACAGCCAGATCAGGTTCTGCTACTGAGCATTTCGCACATATACACTTATTCAGGTTGTATCATTGGCTCTATACAGGATCTTTGGGTGGATAGAATCAGAATATACGGGAGGGAAGTGTGAAATATTCGTTGCAGTGTTTCTCTTAAGGGGTTACATGACTTCTTGGGCATACATGAGGGTCAAGATAATGCTATAAGGGTCTTTGTCTAATTGAAGCGAGTTGGAACGGAGAATGGAAGGGAGGAAATGGATAGTAATAGTAGGATGAAGGTGATTAAAAAAAAAGGATGCCAGCAACGATGAAACAGAATGCATTCGGGCGTCATGAGGGGGCTAATGGTTCCGAAAAGTGGGAAACAGGGAGTGCCCAACAGGGAGCTGAAGGGCTGGGGAAGATGGGAAGGGGCGATGGGATAGGGAAGTTTGAAGAACGGACAAGGTAGTTGTGCTTAGATCAAAGGGGTATCGCCAGTATCAGCTCGTTCAACCGTACCACATGATACAGGAATACTTCGTCTGGCAAGTTAAAATTCGATCAAGGGCACGGCGTTTCAGCATCCCTCGTGAAACAGAATTCACTTTATGGAATGGAAGCAAGTGGTCCACGGCGTAACTTCTCTGAGTGCGCCTAAAGGAGCGCCTTGCTCCGAGGAGGGTGGTCTCGACAAGAACAATTAATGTCTTTGCGACTGCTGGCGGCCATGCTTACGCCATAGCTGCAGCAGTAGAAAGGGCGACCTGACGCTTGACTTGTTCACGAGCCCAGCGAGCAGTCTCAATTGTGGTCGGGCCAAAGTCTCTGGTGTTCCTGGTGTCTCTGACCAAGTCCGTAACCCAAGCGTTACGGAAGAAGGCCGCGAACTCTCCATTCGGGAACGCCTCCGCGATGTCGCTGTTTCATGGTTAGACATAGATACACGCGTGAGAAGGTTCAATATGACAAACGTACCCAAGAACACCCATTGAGGCCCTCATCAGTCCCTCGCTCCGGTTGAGATCCTGGGAAATCAGGTGGAGGAGCTGGAAGATAGATTCAACAAAAGGCTGGAGCTGAGTCACTGCAGAGGGCTTAGCACACGGCACAAAAACTGTATTACACACTTGCTTACCTTGAGGCTTGCCCTTATAAGACAAAACAATACCACCCCATGCATCCATAATTCCTTCACGAAGCGAGACGATGTAGTCGAGCATCTCAATATTAACGTCCGAGCTGGCGGTTACAATCGATGCCTGCTGGAGGACCTGGGCAACGACAGACAGGTATGTGTCGAAGTGTATTCCGATGGCCTGAGCAATGTCTCCGAACGTCTCGAGGATTGCAGGCTTCAGTTGATTTGTGGAGCTCTGCAAAAAGTATTTAGTGAGGGACAGTTCGTTGTTTACTATTAGGAATAGAGATATCTTACCCTCAAGTTATTGAGCAAGTAGTTCATGAACGAGTCACAGAATGGCTGAACCTTTTCATTCAAGGCACGGGAGATATCGCTGACCAGTCCAATCGCCATAGCACAGAGACCCGGTTCCTCTTGATTGCCGAGGGCGTTATAAAGGAATGGCGAAAAGGGTTCCATATACTTGACGAAGTCCTCCTCCAGTGCACTTGCAATAGCACCGACTGTGGCGAAAACGACATCAGGCACACTGGACTTGGGGGGCACAGTCGTTAGAACCTGGATCATCGCGTGCATGATACGGTCCGCTTGAGGCTTAATCTCAGTTTCGAGACGTTGAACAATAGCCTAAATTGTCAGTCAAAGCACACACGAAAGCACTCGTGGGTTGAAGAACTCACCAATATAACGCTGATTAAGCTGGTTTGCACCTCTTCCAAGGTGATCCGATCTTCCACACTAACAACTTGCTGTTGCATGGGGATGGTATGTTCCAGGCGCTGAATCACAACGTCGGAGAGACTCGCGACCATGGGGAGGCTGTCATTCGCCGCATTGGTAACGAAGGAGTTCAGGACTTCATATCCAGCAGTCCGGAGCTGGTTGTCTGCATCTTGCCTATAAAGCAGTTAGTAAGCTAGGTCCAGGAAGAGCACTCTCTGAGCTAAATCGGACATACCTTTCAGTAAGAGTAAGAAGCGACTTAACACTTTCTTCAAAGTGCTTTGACAAGGGGTTCGTCTGCGCACCGACGTCACCGGCAAATCGATCGGCAACGTTCATCAGAGCCCAGCAGCAGGAGCTGGCAATCTTAGGGGTGCTGGCAAGCCCGTTGAACAGGCAAGAAATAAGGGGTTGTAGATGCACGTCAGGGTCCAGAGTCTCAGAGCAGAAGTCGCACACGCGACCAAGGGCATAGGCTGCCGAATCACGAACTTGGATGGAACTATCTTCCATCATACCAACAAGAACACCCAAGGCCTGCTTGACCAGGGGTTCAAGGACCTTGGGATCCGGTCCATCCATGATGGCGCCGAATGCCGCAACTGCAGCGTCTCTGCGACGCCAGTCTTCATTACGAATGTTTTCCTCGACAAAGGAGAGAACAGGCTGGATGACCTCGCCCTGGACACAAGAAGCATAGAGTTGCAAAGCCTGATAAGCGGCGCGAGAAACATTGTACTCATCATCCGTCGCATCCTCATCCTGTCTGCACATAGCCTGCAGTAAAACTGGGACAACCTCTCTGCACGCCACGCGGGCGAAGCCAAAGAAAGGACGGACCTCGGAACCCTCCGCTTGCGCCTGTTCCAATTTGTTAGCAACCTTCCCTTTCAGATGTGTGTAGAAAACTAGACGAACCGCAGCATTGTCATCCTCAATGGCAATTTCCTCCTCGCAAACGGAGCACCAAAATTCAATAGCTAGCTTGGCAACATCCTCCTCCTCGCTCTTCATACCCATGATGCTGAGGCCAAACAAAGCCTTCTCCATGTAAAAGCGCATTTTCTCGTAATAAGCAGCCATGATACGGTTCAAGCAACCAAATGCGCCCGCCTGAACACGGAGATCATCGGCTTGCGTAGCCTCACAAACCACTTGCATGATATAATTACGTTCACCTTCATTGTCCATGTTCGACCGAACGAAGTCTACTGAGTCACTGAGAGCCTTGATAGCAGCATAGCGGATATCCATGTTGGTTTCTTCACGTCGGGCGCCCTGTACAACAGCGGTCAAGATGGCGTTGGAGTGAGCAGTTAAGCTCTCCCGAAGATCAGCATCCTGGGATTCACAGATGAAACCGATTGTGATGAGGGAGGCCTGCTTCAGCTGGTTGGAGCCCGTTGCAACATTCTGAACCAAAACGTTCATCAGTTCGGGCCATTCATTTCGAGGTAGCTCGATGGCAGCAATGGAGACGATGAACTGAGCTGCAGACTGGCCGGCGCGGGCGTCTTTAGAATCCAGAGTCTTGAGCGCAAGCTCCTTGACCTGTGTCTTAATCTCCGAGCTGATCTGTTGCTGCCATTTTCCTTGCACCTCGCGTAGCTTAGCATGATCTCTGAAAGTGAAAGCATTCTTCAGTGCGAGACCCGCAGCGGTTCTGATGTGGGAGGGGGTGTTTTCATTCGCCAGTTCTTGACCAAGGGTAACAAGGTATCCGGCCTACATGGAGAAAACGCCACGGTTAGCATAATGTATAACGGTCAACGAGCGATCGCTCGAAGCGACCCCAAATGAGGCACCCGGGAGACATACGAAATCGACCTCCGCCGCGTGGACAAGCTGCTGTTCCGCATTTGTACGTGTTGTCGCATCTATCAATCCAAGCAAAAATCACCCGTCAGTAGCGTTCTTGATCGCTCCAAACAGCGTTCTAATAGGAGGGATAGAGAAATAGTCTTACCTGGCGACAGAGTGCCCTCCAATACCTGGGTGACATTCATGTTGTCGGAAGTGGGACACTGACCACGGGAACGAAAAGAAAAAGAAAATGCAAGAAATAAAACAAATGAAGCGCCTCTGGCTTAATTAAATTTTGGTAGGCAAAAAGTTAATTATGAAATTGCCCACGACAAAGGAGTGGCAGCGTGGACGAGGAGACTGAAAGAGATCCTGTTGTTTTTGTGGATATATGACGAGGCATGCACCAGTTCTTTCCGGCAAGTAGGACAAGAGGGAGGAAAAGACGGCTTGTGGTGCACGCCGAAGAGCCAGGAGAGTAAGAGAAAAAACCGCACTCCAAGGTCTATGTTTCAGAGAGGCAGGAGGAGGGAGTGGTGATTATCTGGTTCCCGAAAATCTTTTTTTTAAGTTCTGATAGAAAACGTTTTTATCAAAAGAGAGAAAGAGAAGGGGAGAGAGAAAGCGAGAGCGAGGGAGAATAATAGTGTGTCCCTTCAACTTTTGATCCGCAATGAGGAATGAGAGCGACGATGGGCAGAAAACAGCCAGTCAGCGCTCGGCGGAGCCCCCAAACCTCGTCGGATGATTGGCCCGCGGCCACTGGTTTAGTCATATCACGTGACTCTTCACCAGTCTTGAAGGGGCGCCGTCAATCCCCGAATGAAAATCAACAGGAACAGCCCTATCAGCATGAAATCGTCGACTACCTTTGTATCATACTACGTATTCTGTCTATTACAATATTTATCTTCTTACAGGCTTCCCCTCCTCTTGCAGCTGTAAGGGGGTTTGAGGAGGGTTGTGGTGTGGTGGTGATACATATCCTTTCTTTTACTTTGGAAGGCCGACCACATACTTTCGTCACCATCCATTGTTGCCTGAGGTATTGCCCCTCCCTTGTTTTTCTTCTGGTTCCTTCTTTTCCTTCCCCCAAATTTTTCCCCCTCCATTGGTTTTTTGCTTGTTTTGATTTTGCTTCTTGAAGCACTTCCACCCTACCCACTTGTGTGGCCCCGGCGACCACGCCCTTCTTTGATAATAATCAGGGTGTCAACCCCATCGCACAAATCTATTATTATCCATACCCGTAGGAACCAAAAATCAAATAAATAAATCAAGTATATCTCTCGAAACAAACCATGGTCTGTGAAGAGCTCATTCAGACCTCGGATGCCAGGGGTTCAATGTAATCCTTGAACAAAAGTCCGACAGCCAGTCACAGCTAATATATCAATAAACAAACGCAGTACAGAGGCACATCCCTGCCTGGAGCAGCTTTGTCCCTGCCGATGGGTGGAACCTAGAGTTGCTCCTCAACACGCTAATTTACTGGTGAGAGTCAACCTCACCTTGTTAGCCTTGCTTTCTTTCCATCAGGAACAACCAGATAGCGACCAAGCATTGTTATTATCCCCGGCCCCTATTCGCTGTCCTCGTCTGGTTCTTCTTCATCTTCCTCCTCTTCATCTTCCATCTCCGCGTCTAAATCCAATACCTCATAACGCAGACCGTCGCCATACAAGACACAGATCGCTCGACGGTCGTGTCGGCCGTTGGCGTATATACTCGTGGGTTTGAGTTTGGGCCCAGGTATGGTAAAGGCATGTTTAATCCACTGCGTAGATTCGGATTCAGGGGCCAAGAAATCAAGTGTCACAGTGGGTGCAGCGGGCGTAGATGATGTCGTGTCACTGTCATACTCCTTAAAGCTGACAAAACAAGGACTTTCAACACCCCCAGGGGTCTCGCTAGTAGGTGCCGGCTGAAAGGGGAAGTTGAGGAGGTAAGAGGATCCTTCTGCAAATCGTTAACACATGTAATCTTCACAAAGTATATCCCAAAGCGTAATATACCGTTATTAGACCAGAGTACCATCATAGTATCATCCTCCACAAACTGTATCTGACGTATTTCCCCCTCCTGTAAACTGATAGCACCTATACCTGTCGTTCGTGTGGAGCTGACCCCATTTTCGCAGTCCAGAACCGTGCGGTATATATACACTGGATGTCGTGGGTAAGAAGTTAGAACACATAGACATAGACAAATGTATACGTACGTATATGTTTCGACCGGATAGATCTAGTAGCCACATATATCACACACAATCTTTGTTCTCCGACATCCTAGGATTATGATGAGCACTATTTCTCGCGTACGTCTATCAAGGGTATGGTACCTCGTAGCGCATGGCAAGATCAACGATATCTTTGTCACAATCTGGGTGAAGGGCAAGTGGAGACCGATGGAGGATTCCTCTACGCTGCGTCAAGGCGATTTGCCCAAAGACCTTTTCAAACTGTAGTCCGAGACGCTTCGTTAGATCATTCATCTTCGGCAGTTCGGCTGGAGTATCAGTGTCGGAGGTTTGGTTGCTTTGTTCCAGCAATTTCTTGAACGTGTCATAAAATGACCCATCGTGTTCGGTGGGTGCCCATTTGTCCGAAGTACTGGGGGCAGGCCTGGCGAATCCTATCAGAGGCAGTTGCTGGATGAAATTTCGTAGTTTGCTCTTAGTTAACGCGCCTTTGATATACTTCAGAGTCTGCGGATATTCCACCATGTCTGTTTTTTCCTGTAGCTCTTCCAGCGTTTGGGACATAGGTTCTGCACTCTGCATTTCGATTTCGTGGCGAAGCCATTGTGAAAATGAATTGAACTGGCTTAATTCTTCATTTGCATTGATGAGAATATGGTGAGATAAGAGATGAAGGCAATCTAGAGTCTCCACAATCGCATTCAGATCTGATGTCTCCAGGCCTAGGACGCCACATATTTTATGGAATTTGGAGAGTCCGATAAGGCGACTAAGTAGCACTTCACATCGTTCTAGAGCCGGGAGAAGACATTCGTGTGTCAAACGTCGAACATTTTCGTATCCGCTCGATACAGCTTTCTCCCACCTTTTGTGTCCCTAGAACTCACGTCAGCGATTGATGAATGCTGCTTCCAAAAGGAGACATCCTACTCTTTCCCCGACAATATCTACCAGGAATTCTTTCATTGGTTCAAAGCAGTCTCCAGTGACCACTAGGTGGTAGGCGGCCGTAACAAAATCACAATGGCACTTTTCCTGCAAATCCTCGTTTATACTGCGCATGTACCTTGCCGGTAGTTCTTGTGCATTTTTCCACTCGAGCTCAATCTGTCTTTGTACCTGGTTGATGTATCTTAGTAGGTTTTGGAGCTGGGTAGTCTTGTGGGCAAGTAGTGAAAGATATCTGCCCGATCGCGTAATAAAACGAAGGTCGAGAGTGAGCAAGTGCAAGGAGGCTGAACTATCATCTGGATGGCAGGATGCCAGCAATGCATGGGTGGAGCTCAATGGATGAGAAGCGTGCTGAAGGATCCTACATAAGCTGGAAGGTCCAACGGAATTCCCCACTTGAAATGAGCCTATTTCGAAGCAATCAAAAATTCGCAAGTGGACGGTGCCATCATCGAAGCCTACCAGCAAGACGTCTACTGCGTCACTGGTGTTCTTGCTGGCAGAATGGAAGACAGCATCAATCGATGCTCGAGAACTAAACACGTCGTCACTGGAGTTTGGGTTAGTGGGAGGTAGCTGCACCATTTGGATGGTCGGAGGACCTACTCGCTTCCTGTCGCGGGCAGTGTGCTTAGTTTAGGTAGTGAGCTCTCGATATCTAGTAGAGCTAGCTCCCTTGGTAAGTCGACTTTGAGTAAGGCCGCTGCTTTTGATGGATGTACATCCGACGACAGCAGGTCCTCGACGGATATTTGGCCGGCAGCCTCTTTCAATTGCTGCTGTGCAACATTGCTATCGGTGAAGTTTACACCCCAGCCCAAACAAGTAACCCGGACAGGTCGGTCGCCATCACTCTGCGCTTCATAAGCAGGGTAATGATGGACGGTTTTACCGCTGTAAGCACTAATAATACGGATAGTATTGTCCGCGCAAGCGACAGCAAGTAGGCGGCCTAGCAACTGGTAAGGCTATCTTCCATACAAATAACTATGTTTGCAAGAAACAACAGTATTTCGAAACTGAAAGCCAAGGACGCACCATTGTTTTTCCACATCAACTTTCGGATTTCACCCTCGCCATCGTCTTCGTCCAAGTAGGGATCTCCCTTGAAGGAACCTCCAAAGACTCTCTGTCCATTCAGTCGAAAAACTCGTAATTCATCATCCTCTGTAACGAGAGAGATAAGGTCCATCGTAGGACAGTATTTCAACGTTGTGGTCTTGCATTTTGCAGGTAGTGACTTTTCTGCAACAGGTGTGAGTTGCGGCTCATGCCGCAACGATGGAGGGTGAGAATTGACTTCAGCCATAATTGTGCAATACTCCCTTTAGTCCATTCTTTGCAGGGAAATTTCAACGTGGATGCTTACTTCTAGTATGTCCCGCGCCTGACGTTGCCCAAGATGGACAAATGGTTAATGGATGGTGGAGTCGCAGAATAGCGGACCTCTTGGCACGTGGTGTCTGTCGCGCGTCCCCCAAGTGACTAAAAACTTTTAAACCCTACCTGGAATTTCAGGGGATAGGGCAGTTAATCCCTTCGAACAATTGAGTAGTGTAATAATACTGGCTTCTATAAGGAACTAGTTGTTGATTCTGTGTCTCAAGTGTACTGTACAGCTCATAATTATATACCGCTCCATTCCCAAATTCTACACCTCTCTTCTCAATATATCTCCAGATCTACTCCCCTTGCTACTTTCCATCAAAGCAAGAATATCTGAACACAATGTATAATTAGGACCCCAATTCTAACTAGGCAAAAACTTTCAGCTCTTTCAATATCTTCTACACTACCTATATTCTTACATGCTACCGATTCGGTCAGCAAAAGATGGGTCATGGAAAGAAAAACCAGAAAGTCCGGTATGTCTATATTATTTAAAAGTTCCACTCTATATGTAGATAAACCGTATATTGCATACTCACATCATCTAAGATTGAATCATCGATTTGAGATAACTCAACTCATCCATCATTTCTTGCATTGCTGCAGACTGTCCTGGCAGCGAGCTGATGCTGAAGCGGTCATTACTGACGTTATGTGTCGTTTCCGCATCATCTCGGATGTTTCCCGCAAAATGCACAGTAGAAGGTTCGGGGCTTCGGAGAAGCCCAAGTCCTTCTATTCCCCCAAAGAATGCTGCATGGCGCTTGGGATCTCTTTCGACCTCATCAGAATCACCGATACCAAGACCAGAAAAATCTATATCGGAGGGGGACAAAGAGACTGTAAGACGAGGAAGTGGCAGATCGACGAGGGGTGAGTCACCACTGAGTGTAGTGGGGGAAGATCTTGAATTAACAGTAAGTTGTGGAGTGTTTGGATCACTTGTTTCAGCAGGAACAGAGGTCTTCCACAGTTCGGCAAAACTCATCTCTTCAAGAGCAGAGAAAGTTTGGGTACCATTGTTGAAAGGAAGCGAAGGTGTCATGAACTCAGCGGAGACCACCTCTGTATCTGTACTCCATTCGGAAAAGTGGCTCCTCTCGCACGGAGAGCTACTCGTGGACTCCGTCGCGCTGAAGTCAGAGAAATGACTGCCAAGATTTTCCGCATCGAGCTCCTTTTCTCGAGCTTCGAGATCACGCAGCGCCTCATCCATGACTGACGAAGGAGAATTCGGTAGAGTGGGGAGCCTCTTTTCTGAGGATGTGAATGGCGTAGGGGTTACAGCATCTTCAACTGCCACTGGCAAGGCAGTTGCGAGCAAGGAGGTGGAGTCCACAGAAGCGACAGAATCTTGAGGGGCATGTGGATGGGCCCTCTCTAGGTCACCATTCCTAGTGGTATTCGTCTCATGGTTTGTTTGAAGTGTTAACGGAGTTCTGGGAGTCGCACGGTCCGTGTTTTTTGGATTTAGGGCACGCCGATCCTGGATAGACAGCACCGTATTCACAGGATGTACGGGAGATGCAGGCCGCCGGGGGAGTAGGCTCTCCTTCGACGTGTTTTCAGGGGGTATGAGGCTTTCAGTACGCCCCATGACAGGCTTGAAGGCCAGTCTAGGCTTTGTAGAATCACTATTCTGATTATCTGCCACGCTGAGATCAGGAGAGGAAGCATTCCATTGTCGGAAGGCAGCTCGAAGGCCCCTTGATCTTGGAGGAGAGACTGATCGAGCAGTTTTGGTGTCTGGTGCTCTTTGGCTATACTGAATTGTAACCTTGGGCGTCGCACTATTAGGTTGAGAAGCGCCCCTGTTGGTTAATAAACCCAAAGGGGAGGTGCTGAAAGACCAAGCCGGAGTCGGTTGTTGAAGCAGTGGAGGAGATGTACGGAGACGTGGAAGTGCTGGTTTGGGGGGGTTTCTGGGGTTCATATATTTATCATCAGGGTTCATAGTCCGCTCTTCTGTTTGTTGCGGGCTTGAGCTTCTATCACAGAAATAAATCGGACGTGTATCCGGCAAAATGACAGGAACATGGAGAACATTGACAGGCTGGCCTGGAAGAAGAGGACAATGCGATGTGAATGGCTCTGCATGATTGTAGTATTCCACATCATCGTCCAGTAAGTACTAATTTAAGATTAGATAAAGCTGCCGAACAAGAGAGACGTAAGGATACTAACATAATACCAATATGTGCCGCCCATTTTGAGCCCACCAGAGCGAGATGAACCCATATTCTTCGGCGTTCCATCGCATATTATGCTGGTGAAACTATGGCATCCCCTCCAATGGCCCTGACCAACACGCCTGTCATGCTCCATAGGATACGACTTGGTGAAGTTGTCCCATGAGCCTAGCAGTTTGACAGACTTGACCTGGGGATTAGTATATCTATATGGTCATTAGCGTGTGTGATGGATTCAGAACGACGAAAGCGGCTCACAGGAGAAATGTCATTAACGTTGTTGAAGCCATGGTGGTATAACTGAGATGAGACCTAGGAAAGATGGGTATGGCGCGGCGAAGGATGGCAGCAAGGCAAATTGAAGCAGGATAGTCTAAATTGTGAAAAAGAAAGAAAGTGACAAGAAAATTTCCCCAAGGCCAGCCTGGACGGAGAGATATATGGACAAAGGAGGGTAACCCGGTGTTGTTTTGGGGTGCGTTGTAGAAGTTGAATAGGTCCGCGCGAACGTTGGATTAATATAGATCAGATCGCGAGTATAAGCTCAAGGCTAATCAACATGCCATTACAACCCAAAAATATTCGATACCAAGCAGTCGGCCGCTTGGGAATCAATTGATTCAGTAGCCGCGACGGGACAATAGTTAAATTTCGATCCCCCTGACACGAAACAGAGAGTACTCGGAGCCAATGACACTGGCTGGTCGTGAGCTCTAAGCGCTGACAAGGCGGATAGACGGGGTCGAGAACATTCGTGAAGGAAAGGTAGAAGAATATCGGCGCTTGCTACAGGAGATATTGTGGTTTGACCAAAACTTAAAGGAATGTGGATATGGTTCACTCGGTGGAGAGAAACTGGCTATTCAAAAGAAAACATTGGAAGAAAAGAGTGGAGAGTCCGGACCCTCGCACTGTGAATAAGAATATAAATCAGTCGCAGACGATGGGCATTGTGGAAAGGTAATCAAATCGATCAACAAAACCCATAGCTCGACCGGCGCTTATCCTCTGAACCGTACGGGATCCACCGGCTTTTGCAATAACCACGTCACGAAGGGTCACGAAGGGAAAAGAGTAGCCTTTGAGGCTAGGGGGGGAGAAATAAAAACGTAGTGAAGACGCGATGAGATCTGAACATGGTTCTCGAGAGTCTCAATCGACCACTCACGGAGCGAAGACTGGAGCTGAAAATGGCTGAATCGGTATCCTTGACGGAGTACCTGGCGAACCAAAGACTACTGGGCCTTAGTTGCCCTTAGTGCTGAGCCAAATGGGGGGCGGGTGGAAAAGATGGATCACAACTTTGCAGCTAACCATGCGGTGGCGGATCATGGTGAGAGAAGCGAACCACTTTTGGCTCCCATGGAGACGCTCTCCGGCGAATCTGATTGCATGGAAACCCGGAAAAATAAAAAGGGGGCGTGGCTGGTGACAATACCATACGGAGTACACCATGCTGAGCCACTGAGAACCGTGGGAAGGAAATAACCATCTGCAAGTGATTCATCGATGATCAAGGAAATATAAGCGAAAGCTACTACTACTTACTACTCCTTAGAGAAGAATGACCTGCTCTCGAGTCATCGTAGCACCAGACCTGCAGTGCCAGTCCAGTCACAAATCTTGAGGGGAAATTGAAGGTTCATCAGTCAGTTCCCTTTTCTACCTCTAACCAGGGAACGGAAGGGTAGCAGGTTGAGTACTACTTTTTTTTTCCTCGCCGATCCGCCCTACTCCATCCGCCACGTGAGGAGCAGGTACCACGACGCATGGTATTCTGTACCGTATTGGCCTTACCAGGAGTTACAACGTACGACAACTTCAAAGACAGATCAGATCCCATTTTTCCAATAGGGAAATACTCATCTGCGTTTGGGGAAGCACCAAATGTAAACAAACCTCCAATGTAAACCTTACGTACTTCAGCGGCCAAGGTGACAGCCTGCTGAAATCTACCAAAACGATTTTTCACGACTTATTCGCTCCTCGCCTGAGCTAAGGGGAGTTCTTAATAGCACTAGGACTTGGCCGAAGATCCATCCTCACGGACCAGGCCTCAGCTTGAGGATAGGACAGGCTAAACTTCCTAGTCTGGTTGCCGAGTCAGGAAGACTAAGACCATTGGTAATATCGATGTCGCCTTGGTTCAATCAAATCGTCGGGAATTCATTACAGCAGTTTCTCTTCTTGAAGCCGGGCGCTACTCGGCCGACCCTTGGATGCTGGGCAACCGACGATCAACCTAAAGTAAACACAAGGGGACTTTTGACAATAGTAGCATCTTTTATTAATAGTATCAGGGCCTTCAATTTTATTTTTGACCAATAAGCCATTGCCGTTCACTGTCCTGCAATGAAATCATCACCACTCCGAAGGCCAAAAAAGGCATTCGTTCCAATCTGTCTCAGCGTCCTTCAAATAGAGCAGAAATGGAGAATAAGAAAAGCATAAAAGGAACGCCAAAGAGAAAAACGAAGGGGGAAGGGCCAATGCGTTCAGCTCGTGAACAAATCAAATCCATGTCTAGCTCGGAATTGTCGGCGGCTAGGCGGCGCTTGCTGCGACATATTCGAAACTCATTTCCTTTATCTGCAACAGACCGTTGAGTTTGAAAGCCACCGATAATGAATGAAATATAATAGGCGTCAATATCGGAAAGGCCCTGTACATATTGGGACCTTTGAGCGAAACAGAAAACAGAAGGTAGGTCAGCGGAACGCGTTGCACTTGTCATATTTGCGATTGACAGCACCGAGGACGCATTTCAATATCCCGTTCGCGCTCAAGGTCTGACCCTTGTCACCCCTCCATGGCACTGTGTCCACAATATCTCGCATGTCCCTGTTCTTTGACTTGTGGCCTAGGTCATCATCCAGCATCTGCAGATATTCCTGTGCGTGCTTGTCATCCCCAATTTGGAAAAACTGGAGGCCAACCTGCCATGGTGTGGCATTGCATTTATCCAACCTTTTGGCGGCGTTGATGATAACACTTTCCGCGTCGTCCGTGAACACCCCGTCTGTGATTGTGATGATGTTCAGCGGTTTCACAGACTCACTAGGGTCTCTTCCTTGGGCTGCAATGGCCTCCACACGACGAAGGTATGGGTCCAGGATCTGGCGCAAACGGCGCCCAGCCGGAGTTGCTCCTCGCGGCTCGACGCCGTAAAAAATCTCACGGACATTATCCGCCGTCTTGATATTAGTATATGCGCCAGTTCTGGGATCAGTTCCTCCGTGTTGATAGTTTAAGAAGTAGATATCAATACCATCCTGGTCATGTGTGGTACAAATAGGCGCGATGGCAGCAATAGCATCCGCAGCCTCCTGCCAGCGACGCCCTCTCATGCTACCGCTGTCATCCACCAGGAATACCGTATCAAACTCGCGCAGGAAAGAGTAAGGTGAATCGCCGGATGACGAAGCCCTGGATACCGGAGCGTTTGAAGGGTGCTGTGGTGTGTATGGAGGAGGGGACCAGGGATCGGCATTCCCTGCCTGAACAGGCACACTTTTTGCTTGCATACTGGCTGCAACCTGCCGACGTCGATCGCACTTTGACGCAGTATTAGACCGTCTGCGAGACTCGGAATGGCTTCGAACTCGTGAGTGGTGGTTGCCCATAATCCAGGATGGAATGGTTAGAGGCAGGTGGTTGGGTGAAATTAATACTAGCAGATGGTGAAAGGATGGGTACAAGACGTTGACAATACGCTCGTATGATCCGTGTATATGTGATGGATGACGTTTGTAGATGAGGTAAGTAGTAGTAATAAGTTGTTGCTGTAGTGGCCCTGTGTTCCTAGAACCGCATCTCAAACTGGAAGGACCTGGACTGATTTATAAAACAATGATTGAATAGTAAGAAATGGGAGATTCCTGTCAGGTGTTATTACATCCAAGAAAATCGTCCCCCCGTTTTTATAGAACTGTCTCGTATCCATCTCGTGAAGACATGATTAATCTTTCCACAGGTCTGGAACAGGCAGTGAATGGAATCTCCCGACAAGGGTTAGGCTGAATCTGCGACTTCCCCGCCAGTTTGGGGAAAACCGAAGGTTCCTAAGGCGGAAACAAGGCAGTTTCCTCTGTCACACAAACAGACTCAAGATGGGGATGTTTCCACATAGAAAAGCTGGTTCAATCCGCAGAACAACTCTGGGATGAAGCATAAGGCACAATTCTAGTGGAACATCCCTATGGGGCAGTGGTTGCCCCGACCCCACAATTACATACATACTTTGCCCTACGAAGACCCAGCATCGCCATTGGGCGCAAGGGATACATCCATGCTATGAGAACATATACTGTTAGAGTTAGTTTGCACAGACGAAAAGGGGGGGGCACTACTAGTACTACCTAGTAGTACTGTCGTATTTGGACCCGAGCAAAATGCTGTACAGACTGTAAGGCGCAGCACGGGAGTCATACCTTAGGCATTCGTGCACAGCCCCGTTCTGTTGCCTATACAGGAGGTCGTACCACCAAACACGAGCAGGGCAATGAATTATATAAGACGGAGTAAGACAAAATAAAAAGAAAAGGAAAAAGGGCGGAAGGCAAAAAGTATACAGAGAACTCACATCGGCTTACGGTATAGGAACACAAGTGCAATGTGTATCCTCAGCCATATTCCAAGATATTTTTCGGTAGAACAAGCCAAACAGATCGGAAGATATCCAAAGCCTCGATATGTCCAGGATTGAGAATCAATATGAATCTATGAAAATATGGCAAATGTAATGGGCCAGGATCTGTTCTTTTCGCAGTTTTCTAAAATAAAAGATAATATCCACTCTAGGATCTACTACTTCAGATCACAACAATTTATGTGGAAAGGTGCAAGTAAGAGGTTTTTCTCTAACAAGGCTCACATTATACAACGCCAGGTAGATCGGCATGCCGGCTATTTATACCTTGGAACGGTTGTACATGTTCTGTTATGTGCTGTAGTACATCAGCTAAAGGGGATGCGCCCGCCACCGGGCGCTCTATCTCTTCTTTCTGTCCCTTTCTAGAATTCTTGATCTGGATATATGCCTCTTTACCCAACATCAGCATAGCCAAACACAACATTCCGCAACTGAATGTGACAGTTTTTGTTACAGACATCACAGGTAAGTCGCTCACATTCTTGCTCTGAAAGCTTGGTTCATAAGATCGAGCGACTTCCTGGACAACGCGCGACAGGGCTACAAGTCGATCTCTTTAGACTAGGGGCTAAGTCATGGATGAACTAATTAGGCCTACATCCATGGATGTTAGATCTTCTAACAAAGTTCGAATCGCTTGTATAGGTTATAGGGTATCGATGGCTAAAGACCAATAGGAGGACTAACAACACAACTATCAAGCATTTAGCAATCATCAGACATCGATCATTTCAGGATTTAAATCGTTCGTGTTACTTACACACGATACTTTCTCAAAAGCACTCATGTACATGCACGTTTGGGGAGCTGGTAAAAATATACCCTATGGTTGGCCGTTCCCCAAGGATTGCATCTAACGCAATCAGTCAACCAGGGAGTACACAAAACCACTGAGAGGAAAGCGACGGCATGGGCAAATCAAGACGGGGTATTGTCGTTAACATAATCGGAATATAAACATAAGATGAAATATATATATGGAATCCATCCTTCGAGACCTTGTCCAATGCTATCAACAGCAAGAAGGTGATCAGGAGGCCCATGTCCCTACCAGACTCGATTCGTCGCCAGTGAAACAGTCTCACGGAAGTAAATGCCATCATCGCCATCCCCTACACCGTCGAAAATTCCCGATTCACACTCTAGGACCTCAATCAAAGCCAAAGCCTGATCTACACCCATGCTATGGCCGATGAGCTGAAAGCAGGAAATCACCCATTGGCGCAAAGGATGATTCAACGACTCTGTCGCTCCCGCAAGAACCAATGGCCAAAGAAGAAGCAGGCCAGCGACGTAGCTCTGATTCACGGGGAGACTATCGAAGGGACCCATCGGGATGTTCCCCACGCTAAAATGGTAGGGGGCGCTGGCGCAAATGTCGTTGGCAAGCTGACGCGTCGTATTGCGCAGTCTAGTACAATGTTCTAGAAGATCACTGGAAATTGCAGCTGCCGGCACATTGAGGGAGAGTTGGCGCAGGCAGGTTAGGATGATTTCGCTCACAATAATTCGAGCACAGCGATATTGGTTAAAAGTATGGCATGTCCAGAGATCGTTGTATATGTGATATTTGTTGTTGTATGGGTGTGGCCCCGGACCCCACATGTTGGACGACATTTCCGACAATGTTGGGGCTTCAACATTGGTGTACAAGAACTCTGGGGGTATGGCTGCAATCCATCCCATTAGCTCTGCTTCAATGCCGTAAGCGGCAGATAGGATCTCATGCGGGTCAACTAAAAGTCCCATGTTAATATCTGCTCGTAGATTGGACAGTCTGCCAGCGATGCCAATTAAACGGTCGCCATAGATATCGACCCTGGTCCGCAGAAACATGGCAACCTTCGAACAGTCAATCAGTGACTCGGGGACCCGCATCGCTCTTTGAAGGCAGCAGATGATCTGACCCGTGTCATTAGTATCTCCGGGGACAAGCAAGAGAGTGGGGAAGAGGGGTCCATAGGTTCAACATACGATCTGAAATCTTAGCTGAACAAACAGCTTCAGTCCATCTTCGTCTTGTAGTTGCTCTGGGCCTCGTAATTCCAGTAATGCGGCAGCACCATAGATATGATTCGTCCATTTCTCAATGTTTCCTGGAGCTCTACTCGTGACGACCTGTTTTTTGTTCGTTAGTAAGATGTGAAGGTCTGGTAAATGGGGAGAACAAGACGGGAGCGGTTTACCTCAAAGATAGCCAGTAACAGAACCGCACCGAGGGTTGGATTAGACTTAGCCTCCTCTTCATCCATCACAGCGGTATACATCAAATTCAAAGCATTGCCATATTCTTTCTCCGCAGCAATCTTCAGAGGTCCATCTTGTCGGATACGCGAGAGCATGGCAGTCCCGACCGCCACAAGGCTCGCCTTCATTGCCTGCTGGCTGAGAGTCACCTCTGGAATCATGAAGAAATCCGGGGAAAATTCCATTATCCAGCAGACCCCGGGCCACGCGTTAAAGCGAAGAAAAAAGCACACAGCCTCATCTTGGGTAAATTGGTATGATGGAGGGGGTGCGATTTTCGAGGGCAGGGGACCGGTGACTTGCTGAGCCGCCGGAGGCGATGGATACAGATCGGAAGGATCGTTGAAATCAGAGATGTCACTTGCCAGGGACGAAGACGTGGTGGTTCCTTGAGGGCTACTCCCGCTTGGGGAAAGCATGCGAGTGGATTTATGGGACTTTTTAGCCCGTCGTCCGGTGGTACCGGCTTTGGCCTTCCGGACCACCTGTTGGCTTTCATCACGGAACATCAACGACAATTCATCTCTATATCCAGGACACACGCGGTTTCCCTTGGCACACTGGGAGCATGTTGGCCGGGCCTGGTCGCACCGGATCTTTCGCGATCGGCATTCACCGCAGCCTTTGCTCGGTTTCCCGCAGAAGACCATGTTGGACAAGGCGGGGCTGGTGGCACAAGGCCCACGGGCAAGTTACACTGTTGTACAGATGATATGATATGGACTTAAAGTAAGGGGGTGTCGATGTTTTGCTCGAATCGGTAACCCATGCGAGATGCCGAGAGTACATTAGTGTCTCTCTGTCTTACTCCGGAGTACAGCGGGTTAGAACACGTAGGTGGACACCCGATCGGTTTTAGCGGGTCCAGTATGACAGGGTTCCAGTTAACAGTGCAGGGACCTTTTTAAGATGACAGGTCATGCCCATTGTCCAGGTTCAGTTGATTGTCTGTTGTGTGAAGTTGATGAGAAGGAAAAGGAAGAGGAGGAGGAGGGAGATACTGTGACCAAGACAGAAGAGGATCCCCCACACGACCCCAACAATTCCCTTTCCCTAAACCCGTTCGGGCAGGCGTTGCGGACATCCTTTCCCGAGGCAGTTTAATCTCTTGTATCCGCTCTCATTTTTGGGGCATCGGTCCTGATTGGCCATCCGCCTCCGGAATATATCCGGAATTAACCCTAATCGACACTGACACCAGGTACAGAGTAAACTAATAACGGTTTATATCGAACAATCCCATTGTATACTATGCTTAAGAAAACATCTCCCTCTCTACAGCTTCACTCACAATTCAAATGCCAACCTATCGACCCTCACAATTGGAGCCGTTCATACCAAACCCCCCAGAACATCTGACGAGCAAGCATAAGATGAAGAGATATGAAACTCAAACGGGCGACAACACAACCGCGGGCCTAATGTAGCCCTCAAAAGACGGCTTCACTGGCTACCGACAATCAAATACTTATCTCCCGTCGACATCCTCGCCCTCTGATGGACTGGGAAAAACTCAGGGGCGTCACCGCGAAGCTGCGGGTCCCTGAATTGAGTTCCCGTGTGGTTGATTACTGTTTCCGGTATATGACCTCCCCCTGTACCATTCGCAGGGCACGGGGATTGCTGGTATGGGTATGCCTACCGTAAGATATTTCATCAGTGTTAATACTTTCTAGACATGCCAGAAATCGTACTTACCGGATATGCTTGGTAGGAAGATACCGGAGCGACGCAGGGCATAGCAGGTGCAGCAACAGGTTGATATGGATAATATGGAATGGGTGGGGCAGGTCGAAGGTATGGAGGGGGATGGAGCAGCTGGCTATGTTGGCTTGATCGAGTAGATTGGCCTGATAGGATTGGGTGAAACGGCTGAAACTGTGGCAGCGGTTGAACGGACTGGACAGGGGGGAACGGCTGGCCAGGCTGTATTTGTGGAATGGGTTGGACAGGTCGATCATGTTGGTTGGAATAGCCCACCTGGGTTGGTCGAGAAGGTAGAGGAGTCTGTCTTGGAGGAAAAGCGTTGGGGGCATGATTTCCGTTCCTCATCATCCCAGGGTCTTCATGCTGGTTGTAAAATTCAGGGATTGGTCCAGGGCTCCAGACAGGAGGAGTCCCCGATGGCTGCGGACACAAGAACGAGCTGGGAGGAAGTCTATCATGCGCCAGGGGTATAAAGCCATGTGGAGAAGGCATCGAACCAGGTGGCACCGAAGAAATGGGTCTCGGAAATACCGGATATTGTGCCCCGTAACTGGGGAGAAAAGGTTGCAATGAGTATGCGACACTATGACAATGCTATAAATAATATAGTTAGCCCGTGTATTTATTCGCGAGGCTTAGCATGATACGGGACTTACATGGCCGGTTTGGCGTCTCCGGTACTTTCCACCTCTTGTCATGGTGCAAGCTGGATTCTCTTGAATACCCGGCTGGATCGAACCGGTGGGTGTTTTAGATCCTAAGTAAGGACGTGACTGTCACACATCTTCAGTATTTCATAAATTAAGGTATCGCACTGAATGAGAATAGTCTACCTTGAACTATGATAAGGGACAAAGAGGATCTTGTGGAAGTAACCCTGGTCTTGATTGTCGAAATGAGATCTGAAACAAAGAACAGGTCTGGTGACAAGAACTGCGTCTGTGGTGGCGTGTGAAAAACAAAGCAACCAGACAAACACAACATATCAGGAAGGAAGAGATCCTGATTGTATAAATTGCCGGCCTCAGGCTTTTGTCCTCCTCCTTCTTTCTTTCCTTCCTTCTTCACCTCTCACCCCCTCTCAGGGCGCGAGCACACCAACATGCTTGTGCTCGCGCCCGTTACTCGCAACTGTTATTTGAATGGATGTTTGAAGCTTTCAAAATCACAGATACAGTTTATGTATTGTGATCTGCTTTATTACAAGCTTTCAACTTCTTTTTACATCTCCTTTTGTTCCTCAACCATTGCTGTGGGCGCCAACATGTGGCTCAATAGAATACAACTCAGAAAGAAATATGACCATGAATCGTCGTTCAGAAGGTAATTTAATATTTTCCTTTTTTTATCAGTTTCTATACTCCTTTTGTTTCCTCTCTTTCTTTCCCACTTCCTTGAAAACAACGGCAAACAAGAGAACAAAAAGGAAAGGATAACCCGTCTCAAACGCAAGACCTACCCCTGTCCTCACTCAGTATCGAAGCTGACTCGTAGTAGTTATTTGTGTCCATAGAAATGAGGAAGGAGCAGCTCGCCCTGTTCACAAAAAGAAAGAAACATATGGCAACGCGGCATTCAAAAAAACCTCCTATTCTCCAACTCGTCTTCGGGCACCTTCCACGGGACTTAAGCATTTACCAAGCCAGTCATCTCAGTGAAAGGTAGGCATGCTCAACTTAACGTTCGTCTTAGCCACTGAGAACTAAGCATCAGATAGGCTAATTGATATCTCTTCCTCGTTCATTTGAGCCCGAATCTGGGAATATGATTCAAGCAGTATGTTTTCAGCGAGGCATTTTTCTGCACGTTTCTTAGACACCAAAGCTTCAGCCTCTGCGACTTCTTTTTCAATGCTGTTGTAATCACTGACTTGCTGCTGCAACGACAGCACCATCTAGAACCATTCATTTGTCAGTTTCAAAGAAGCAAAAATTATGAATGTAAATAATACTTACGCGGAGATTTCGTTCCCGCTTACTCGGAGTGCTCTCATCCCGCGCTTTGTTGCACAGCTGCTCCACACAAGAGCGGATACCATCCAGGGTCTTAGACAGCGAGCTAGAGGCACTTCTCTCAATCTGGGGAGCTTTCGTCTGAGAAGTGGTGGTGTCCGGTTCAGTCAGCCCCGCAACATGCGACGGGTTAGTCTGCTTCGGCATAGGCGACATAAGTGCCTCGGTGCCTTTGCTGGGGCGACTAGTGCGCTGAGGACTCCCAGTGGTGGCAGCCACTGTGTGAGTCCTGCGCGCCGGACCCTGAGGAGAGATAGCTGATTGTCCACGTGGACTAGTCACGGCCCTGGTGCGTGCCGCCATTGTGGTCCGGGCGAATGAAGGCATGTTTTCAGGTGATATTGGGATGGGCGCCGAGATTGTGGGTCTTCTGTGTCTGTCTGTTGAGGGTATGGGGAGGCGCAGGTTTTTGTTCCAACCCTCAGATGACTTGGGGTGTTTGGCACTTGCCTTAAGTCCTGTCCTTCCAGAGTCGAGCTTGCTGTATTCGGGACTTGTGGTAAGCTTCACGCTGCTGGTGTTCGGGTCTTCGAATACAAGGCCAGATCCTTCGTTAGGCCCCTTTTTATCCTTATCCATGGTGCTTCTATGCTTGAAGATATTCCGAAAGCCATCAAGCATACGGTTGCTCCGGGAGTCAGGAACCCTAGCGCTTTGGGGCGTCATATTGTGGCTAGGACTTTGTGATACGATGTCGTCAAATGTCCTGTTCTGGACTGATAGTGGCGCATCGTGAATGAGGAAATCGGACATGGCTTGCAGCGACGCTGTCCGTTTGTTCTGAGGTTTTATTATAACCTCACTCTCTCCTGGGCTTTGCCCAAACTTTTCAGCTCGGGGAGAAGCGGTCTTTTCTGGAGTCACTGGGCCAGATGCTATGCCTCCTTTCACCAAAGCTTCGTATTGCATAGGGAGGTTTGGTATGGGAGGGGTAGACTGCATACATTCGGGGCTGGGGGTGGAAAGAGATGATAGGCTTGAACTGTTGACAGGTTTGCGTGGAATTGAAAATTGGCGGCCACCAGTGTCCCTCTTTGGGGCTGTCTCAAGCAATATCTTGGGGGAGTTGGATGACGGAGTAACTGGGATGTCTTCAGCGGTGTTCTTGTCTTGATGTCTGAATCCCGAGGTCCCTGGTGTATCCTCAATGCTACGAAGCCCTTCCTTGAAGACGTATTTTGGTGTATCCAAATGCTGAACGGGGGCTGGGTGTGATCGTTGTGTGACTGCATACGTGCTGCCAGGGCTATCCGGACCCATTATAATCTTCTCTGCTGAAGCGGCAATTCTGAGGGTAGGACGAGTACGATACTCACCAGTATACACATTGGTGGGTCGCTTGGGCATTCCCTCTTCGAGGTTCCAACCGCCGGATGATGATGAGGAAGAGGTGATGTTTTCCTTCGGCTGATTGGGTGCTTCTTCAACCGAACTTGAAGCTGAGTCTTTTTTCTGCTCAGCCAAAATGGGGGGGCGAGGACCACGAGGCTTCTCAATCACTCGAATACCACCAGCAAAGCCACCACCCCGTGCCTTTGAACGACTATTCAGGCGCTCAGGACTACGGACAGGGATTGGAATCGGGAGTGAGCTGCTCTGCTCTGAGGTGACTCGGCCCCCTTTCTGTGCAGTAGCAACTGATTCCTGGCCGTGTCTTTGAAAGACTACTCCACGGGGAATACGGGTAGGGGGCTGGGTGGTGGTCAGATTCGGATTTTTAGGCTCCTGAGGAGTCTCATATTTGCGCGTCTCTTCTGTGAGATTGTTAACAAGAGATAGGGGGGAAAGGTGGAAAGGATGCTCTAGTTACCCTGTTCTCGAGACTTGCCAGAGTGATAGGGCTTTATCGTCGATGTGTCACTCTCACTACATGGGGAGTCAGATCTAACATCTTGGCCTGTTTTTAAGCAGATGCAAAGTTAGTTGTGCAAATGAAAGATAACAGCTTATTTAGCGATCCATAAAGAGGGTTTGTAGCTTATCATCGTGTAGATCAGGAACTATCGTAGCACAAGTGACTCGCCACTTGAAGTGACTCTGAAGGAAAGCTCAAGGAAGCTCTACTCTATTGGAGAAGGGAAATCGTGAATAAGTTACTGACCTTCGCTAATCATATGGGCTTGCATTTCGCAGCTGGGGGTTTCCTCTTGGCTGCCTGTCGTAGAAGACTCCACAAAGGGATCGTGCAAACGAGGGGGGTAAGAGGACATATTGAGTAGAGTATTGATGTGTAGATGTGCAACAGTGGATTCTGAAGAATCTAAAGAGATATTGCAGATAAAGTACTATCTGGACGGCTGGTTGGAAGGAGTATGAGGGGTGTCTCCAGGATGAGGAATTGAGGAAGGGGTTGGCTGAAAGAGATGTTGTGGACGTGTGGGAATCTGGCTTTCCTTTCCTCACTGAGAGATAAATGTGTTGCCGTGCAAACTGTCGGGGTAAGAGTGTTTCGTTGGGAAAGGATGATGTCGTGCGTGTGACTACCTCATCGCTGCCTGGACTCTTCACACTGAGGCATGAGTGAGTAGCCGTGCAGACAAATGGGTCAATCACTAAAGGAAAGTAGAAGAAAACGGGATTCTGCAGCTATAATCACCATCATTCACCTCCAGTGCAGGACCTTCTCTAGCTCCTTTCCCATAATATCATGAATATACAGTCAGACCTAATATTCTTTGGCTGTAGTTCGGCGCTCGTTGTCAATGTTGTCTTCTGCTGCTCATTGGATTGTCCATCGATTCTTGAGATTGCAAAGCCAAGGATGTGATTCGAGATTTCTGCATACATGAACAGCTACTGGCCGTGCATAGCTCTAGCATATGTGGAATTTCTCGAGATATTGGCTCATGCTAGTTGATGGCATCTAGCTGATTGCCATCATATCTGCTCGCGGTATCGAAACACTTGATGGGCCTCAACATCTGAAGACTTGACTCATTCGCCCCCATCTTCGATCTTGAATATAAATTCGAAGGCCCTGGAAGAGCATATTGTGGGAGCCCTACTTTGCAATGGTGCATAATACTTGAGGTATTCTATCAATATGTCAACACATCTCCCGTTGGACAAGCATTCCAAAGGAACTCACTAAATGCGGGTGGAACATATGTCGATTGCTTCTTTGAAGACTCCTGGGTTGGTCGAAAAGATACCTGATGAGAATTCGCGTTGTTCAACGATCCAAATGGTACAGGAGCTCCCATCTATGCATGTATGAATGCATAGGTGGGAGCTCCTCAATCATATGTCACAGCAGAGACACCTATAGATACTGCATGCTGGAAAGTGACAGGAGTCCTTATGAGAAGGATGAAAAGACTATGATAAATTCAGCAGTGTTCCTTGTTTGAGAGCAGATAAAGACGTGCTTCACTACACTGTTAGTAGTAGGCATGGAAACGCTAAGCGAGGCCATGACGCGATACCCAATTAGGAAACCAGGTCTGTGCAAGGAAGATCGCCTCAGGCATGCATAGTCACGCTAGGGTTCCTCCTGCTTATGACATCTATAGCAGAATATGCTGTCTAAGACCTGACAGGTTTATTGTCAATGTGATATGTCTCCTCTATTATAGAAAGGATCCGCATCTGCAGTGATAGTCTACTCCAGCCCAACAAGGACGACGATCTTTATAGTCTTGAGTCCAATGTATTGAGCAAGTATAGACATTGTTTAAATTCATAGCCTATTATGGTAAGATCTACGTAGGCAGTAGTGAGGTGGCAAATGAGCAGGTTATAAATTGCTTGTAGTACTGGCTGTAAAACTGCCAACAGAGAAACTCACAGCCCAATAGCTAAGATATGTCCTATGACTTCTTGGTTATGTTACAATAACCTAGGGCCAAAGACTAAATCATGATAACTGTATTAATTAAGCATAGTGCATAGTGCATTGTTTTTTACCTTTCTAGTTTACGGGGATCCATTTTCCTCTACACTAGCATGCTGCCCACGCTTCCGCTTCCCAGACGAACTAGATTGAGCTCCCTCTGACCCATCGTGCGTCCATTCGCTAACCTCCCATTGTATCGTTGTTGATTGATCATCACTGACACCGAATCCACGTCTAGACTTCATCATGCGACCCAGTCGACTGCCCTCGATCATCTCCTCAAACCACGGGATCCCAGCTACCGTGCCTTTTCTATAGGTCTTAGAAACGCCCCGCGTCTCACCTGAGGAAGGTATGATAGTATGGGAAAGCGGCAAGGGTTCCTGCGTTGTGCGAAGTGGCATATCAGTCGACCGGTCCTCCCGGCTGCCTTCAGATTCCACTTCGCCCTCCTCATCTTCGGAAAGAAGGCCCAGGTACTCCAACAGTCGTTGATCATCCCCCGAAAGACTCCCAATTGTCACCGACATATAGTTCGCCTCGTCACTGGGAGCATCAGTCCAATATGAGAGAGGTGTTCCGCAAAATCCGCAGAAAGCGTGCTGTGTATGCGGGGCGTGAGCGGGGGAGAAGATGCGCCGGATTGTCGCACGCGATTCGTCGTCGAAGTAGGATTCAGTATGAGATTGATACCAGTCCAAAGGGACTCGAAGCCATGCAGTAAGAGGCGTTCCGTGGATTCTTCCTGTTTCAAGTGGATATTTTTAGTGATATCGCTTCATGATTGATGAGGGTGTATATGACGTACGGCTATCCCGACTACTGTCAAAGTAGATCTCTGCGTGCTCAGAGACGTCCTCTGGGAGCTGTATAAGGTATTGATTGCGCCCACAATGACAGGATCCGCGAAGGGGTTGGCGACTTGTCATTGTGCCTTATGTGTAGGTTAAGTTCTGTATGATGAGCTATGTTGGTAGTATGTATCTGATCACCGGTATCATTAATTTAGTTCGCGGTTTAATATGTAGCACAGACTCAGAGGAGTCAAGAATGGCCAATTGCTGTTAGAAAGAGATTCAGTGAAAGACAGTTCCGGGTTACGCATGAATCTACTACAAAGACTGCGTAGTGGCCTGAGGACGTGCCATTGGCATCGATGACGTAAGGTGCGAGTCCATGGATCGAGAAGTCTTGGCAGCGCTCGATTCGGCAACTAAATTAATTTCTCCGCACCTTAGGTTACTTTGGGGGATTTCTTAGTGTGCGCTCAAGATTTAATTGTACGCCGAAGCATATAAAAGTGGTCAGTCATGCAGGTCATTAGGTACGCTTAGAACAAATTCCCCCCTGGGGCTCTCACTCATTAATTACTTCTTTTTCTTCTTTCCTTTTTTTTATTTCCCTTCTCATCTGTCTTAATTTACATACTTTTAGACGCTAGTTTTCTTCTCTTTTTCCATTCACATTCCTTTCCGGTTCCCTGGAACCCACCAGCGCTCTTGTAGATTTTACCCACTGTTCCCTCCGTCTATCACATGAAAATCTCTCCGACACACTTCCAGCAACTTGACAACAACAACAACCAACCTACCTACCTACCTACCTACCACCATGCCATCTGCACAACCACCAGCATCCCTCGCATCCAGCTCTTCTGAGACCTCGTGTTCTCCCGGTCCAGGCATAATTAACACGACCGACGACCGCAATGACCGTTCTTCATCCACCCCCACTGCTTCATCAACCAAGCATGCTGGCTCAAGCAGCGCCCAGGACAAGGAGAAGCCGCGATTGACAGAGCAAGAAAAGAAGAACAACCACATTGCATCGGAGCAAAAGCGCCGCGCAGCGATCCGCGAGGGCTTCGATCGCCTAACGGAATTAGTTCCGGGCCTGGAAGGCCAGGGCCGAAGCGAAAGCATTGTGCTGAGAAAGACGGTTGATTTTATTCACATGCAACTGCAAGAGAGGCAGGAGCTCATAGCTGAGATTGAGCGCAGAGGTGGTCACATTGACGATACCTTTCGGTCGTGACGTTGGCACGGCCGTCGGGGTTTGCATCCTCAGCCGAGGTTCGATCGGGCTTGAAATATGATGATGTTGATGACTTGATTTACGGAGTTGTGCGGATGGATACAATACCCTGCGCTTGGTACTATCATTGCAAATGCCATTCAATGCAAAAGAAAGAAGGCATGGATTGCTTCCCATTTATAAATTTTCGAGCCACGGTTGAGCTCACTATCTTGTCATATCGCGCCCGCCTTGATCATATGGTACTCTGCATGCCTGCTTTTTTGTTATTTTGTTTCTTTCTTACTGTTTCATTCTCCACTACTTGCTCGTTGTACATCAATGTTGGTTTGACAAGGCGCTTTCTATGGTGTTCAGGTGTTGGTTGGAGTGACTTGTAATAGTTGAACCGGACAGGGGACGGGTATGTTCATTGTTATTTACCGCTTTACAAGTACAATATCAGCTTTGTCCTACCTTTCTGTGTAGGCTAGCTTGGAGAAATATATATATGAGGTTCTTAGTTGGATATACTTGTGTAACTCTTCAGAAGTGGATATGAAAGAGGGGGCGGGGGAGACAAGGGAGCGATCAATATCAGTCATACCTCTTAACCATGGACATCAGACAATATCAACCCACTATCAGAAGCTTTCTAGCAAAAGAAATTATGGATACTCCTTTCTACTATATGTGTCCCTAAACTTATTTAACTGTCAATCAGTCTACAATACAATCACGCTAGAAATATATATTCCTTGCCCTCAGTTACGACATGACATGATATTGGATAATTGATGTTTTTGATTGTTATTATGAAGCAGCTGCCTGCGGGTATCTTGCATCTTTATATTTCCAATACTCCTTACTTTATACTTAATCCATGGATGTCATCGTCATCCTTTCTTATGGCTCTGGATACATGTACCAAAAATACCGGATCTTACATCTGCT